ACCAGGTTATTGAGCACAAATCAGGTCACTCTCCTGACTTCCAGGCATTTCCACATCCCCTGTCGCAATGGCAGTGCAACATAGCGTGTGCTGGGTGTATTTTGTTATGTGACCCAATGAATCCAATTGATACAAAATGAAAGATCATTAGAAGGTTTGTCTTGTTTGATCAGCCTTCTGCTGAAAATCCATCCAATTCCGGAACTTCAGCGATTACCTCCATGACGAGGTGTGGGTTGACTCCTGCAGACACACTACAAAATGCCTGGCGCCTGCCTGCTGTGTGTTGAACTTGAAAGGTCATGTCACCTGTCATTCCAGCCTTCAGTGACCTCTGGGTAAGTCACGTCCAAGGGCATGTTGGCACAGAGCGTTTCCAAAGTGCCCCAGCAGTCCTGGCCTTGTTCAATTCCAACACTACAACTGAAATACTTCCCATGTCTAGAAAAAATACTATATAACTGATACAGTATTCATTGCCTTGATCTGGCTCATTGAGCAATTCATCTGAAGCCTTCCTTGGCTACGTGGACACGTTCTCTGTTAAGCAGACAAAAGAGGCAGCAAAACTCAGTCCATGCACCCAAGATTCTCTTGCTTCTCAGCTGACGTACCACCCTGGCATCGATGAATAACAGCGGTCTTTAGGTCTTTGAGAAACGCGGACAGGTACTTCAAATGCAGTCCTTCAGTCCCTGTGCCTACCGGGCCTAGCATTTTCCTTTGCGCCACTGAACGATAATTGCTGAACAGTACTAAACGTCAATCATCATGCCCAGTCCAGCCCTTCCATCACACATTTGAGTGTGGAAACATTAGGAATTCTTACGCTGTCGAGCCCAAGCATTCACTGTACACCTTGGGCGTCCAGCCAGCAATGCAACAGCTTGTTGCAAAAAACCTTTGTAAAGTCTGCGCTGCTCTGCAAGTCTCGCCCGCCGCTCCATCCGCGAGATCCATCCCGCTTTGTGCAAGGTCGGTAATAGTCCTTCAACAACCATGGGTCATGATTCATATATGGAACCAACATGAACCAACCATTTTGTAAGAAAACCTATCCAGATCAATCCAGTCTGATTTGGTCTGTAGATGTTTGTAGCAAAAGTGAGCAACACTTTTGCCAAAAAACATTTGGTATCATTTGGTGCTCTACAAAATGACAGGACATGCACACATTTGGTCAATCCCGGTCCTTTTTCACCTTCCTGTTGCTCTGGCGGCGTTGGAACCTCTTTGTAAACGTCAACCTGTCCTGCTTAGTCAATTTGCGCTTAAGGCCTCCGATTGACCTGCCAAACATAGGTTCCAAATGAGGCAGAGAGGTTGAACTAGAACATCTATTCAATCAAGATCGCTTTCAAAGCTATCTGGCCTCATATTCGATTGAAGATGTGTGCACTTCAGAAGGTCATGGTCGAAAAAGCACAACCATGTTGTGGTAGTCACCCTGTCAAAGCAAAGCATTTTGTAAACAAAAATGTGAAGCCACGCAAATTGTAGGGAATGAATGTATGACGTGTATAACATTGTATTATATATAACAATATATAACATAATTAACATATAACATCATATAACTATATGTAACTATGTTTGCTGAGACACAGCCCCAGCAGCTTCACCACAGTTTGCCAGTGGGGCTGCTTATACGCCCAAGATTGTGCCGGCTGTTCAATGACAAAGAAAACATCTGGGCGTAGCTGGAAGAGAATGCACATGAAGCTTGCCTCAGCATCCAATCCACATGCCCATCATTTTGTAGAACATCTGTATGTTGAAATATGTTGAAATCCTGTCATTTTGTAAACCACAACCCATATCCCTGTGAATTATGAAAACCATTGAAAACAAAAGGGCAACCAATCGCCAAGTAGGAATTCTATACCAGAATCCCTCAGCACTACAGTAGATTCTCAGGTTTTCTGTGGTAATCAACTATCGAATGTCCCGAAGTATCCCGAAGTCAATAACGCATGGAACCAAGCGACAGTGTTCTTCCAAATACGCTGAGCGAGGCGTACTTTAAATATGCTCTGGTCCCCTTCGGGGTGTTCTTTGCTGCGCTTATGAACGGAGGCGCAAGCTGGACCGAAAAGAGAACACGGAGGGGCCAGAATGACAAGCCCTTTCTTGACCAACCTCACTGCGATGCGCCACGGCAACGGGCTATCAAACTGTAAACAAAAATAACGAAAGCTTCCTGAAAAGGTTTAGTCCTTGAGGGTCTGAAAGCACACAGTGCCAAAGCAAGCAGCCGCATCGCACTGAAGAGAAGTGAACAAAATCCCTGCTTGCTACACATGTCGTGCTGCTTGTTCAGCTTGATATCAAAAGAAATTGAGCGGAAACCCGCATCCACCCAAGTCTTGGATACACGCTGGCTAGCACCAAAAACGTCCAAGGCCTCGTAGATCTGGGTCTGGGCATTCAATCCACGTGCCCAGTGTGTCAAAGATTTGATGTGATCTTCGGCCCGAAACCACCTCAGCTTACAAGCCCCTGCAGTTCAAAATAGGGCCAAATACAAAAGGATACTAAAAGGATCTGAAAGGGTACAGGCACAACTAATGATTTATATACAAAGTGCGAGGTCTCTGGAATTGCACAGCTTGTGTCATCTTTCACTGACGGAAGTTGCTTAGCACCGAGGGCCGCAGGCGCTAGAACGAACAACAGAAAGATCCGCCAAGCTTGCATGGCTCACACTTCTGTCTGGTATGCACTTGTCAACAGTTGAGCCAAAATTCTGGGTCCGCGCGCACTCACTCCGCAACACTGTATGACAGAACTTCTGTACAAAATGCTTGCCCACGTGTTCTCATTACATAAACTATCATAAACCAAGATCATGCATCCTCCTCCCTCAAGCCTCCACCGCGCACAAAACCATTGCGTCCGTGAAATCTGGCTTTGTGTCCTGGCCACATGGCAAGAGCTCCAAACAGCAGCGCGCGTGGAACTCCTCTCTCAAAGTTTCATCCCTACCAAAAAACGCCACAAACATCCACAAACACAAAGACTGACCGAGCCAGTTCAATACTACAAAATGGCATTGCACAGCACGTCAAAGGTCAAAGTTGTTCACTACTCCTACAAAATGTCAGTACATAACTTTACCACCCCGTCCCAACAACCTCCATTGAAGGCAATGTTGGTGCTTCCATGGTTTCTTGCTCTGTGTCCTGGTCACATGGCAAGACGAGCTCCAAACTCTACCAAAGCACGGGCCACAAACAAAAAGACTGACAAGGCCGGCTCTACAAAATGACACTGCGCAGCTGACATTAAACAAATAGTTCTAACTACTTAAAACATTTACATACATTTACCATCAGGTCAAAGACTCCTTCGTTGAAGGCAATGGTGTTGATTCCGTGGGATCCGGCTTTGTGTCCTCGCCGATTAGCAAGATCTCAAAAAAACAACAACCCCGGATAACCCTGGTGAAACTCTAAAAGGATCTGAAAGGGTACAGCATGGCACAACTAATGATGTATATACAAAGTGCGAGGTCTCTGGAATTGCACAGCTTGTGTCATCTTTCACTGACGGAAGTTGCTTGTGTGACAGAACTTATGTACAAAATGCTTGCCCACATGTTTTCAGACCTTCAAAATGTCAGTGCACTACTTTCCCAGCCTCCTCCATCGAGGGCAAGGGTAGTGCATCCGTGG